ATCTTAATAATATGTTATTAATTGAGTTAATAAATCCATCTTAATAATATGTTATTATTATAGTTAATAAAATGTTATTACCGCCGAATCTTAGGATTTATTAAGATAACACCCGATATAACGCATAACATATTATGTTATTATTATGCTGAATCTTAATAACGTTATTATTATGTTATGTTGGACCAATATATCGGCCGTTATTATTATGTTATTAAGTATAGTTAATAATATGTTATTGCCTGTAAATCTGTAAATTCGGAAACAGCTAAAAAAGGTTAAGTGATGATAGATCCGAAATGAATGATTGAATAAATTGAAATGCAAACCAGAGAACATGATACCCACTCACTTGATGTCTCGAAAGAACACATCAACAGAGTCTCTATTCAGTAGTTCGATAGCCACTCTTTTGCAGCATATCAAAAAATGGTTTTTATTTGCAAAAGATATGCTGAAAAAAAGTCTCTTTTAAGCTACTAAATAGAGGCTTTTTTGATACGCTCTTTAGACACGTCTAGAAACGCTCAAAATGCAATTCGCAATCATTTTTGCACAAGCTATCCACACAAGCCAAACAACAAACATTAACTGTCCATTCTTTCATATCTATTTATACTCTGATTATACACATTGTTCCCCCATCCAGAGATGCATCAAATATGCATATATTACGTTGAAACTATTTGATCTACATTCCACAATGAAATTTTTTGATTAATGTCGGCTTGCTCTTAGGTAGACAATAAAAGCATATATTAAATACCTCGAAATAACTACAACGGTCGTGTGAGCTCTCTATTACTCCACCCCAGAGTTTTCGAATCAATAAAAACTTTTCAATCACATGCTATCAATTACTGGGACCGTTCTTGACAGAATTTTAAATGAACAGTCGCTACAATATAAATAGACAATATGTTTACGTGCGTCAAATATGATTGTGATAGTCAGAGAAATAAAATGCTTTATCGGAAGGAATGTGCGTTTATTCCATCGATTACCTCGAATATGAACACATCGTTTTCCTCAAAAGCCCAACAAAATTCCGAGTGCTCATTCCAAATAGAAAACTTAAAAATTATGGAAGGTGGTTTGATGGAAGTATTGAGTGATGCCATTCGGGAGGCTCTATTTGAAGTTATCGAAGATTTGCTCAAAACAGAGAATTTTAAAGTGAACATTGAGCCTGGTTCGAAAAAAGGTATATCCATTTTATCCGAAAATTTCTTATTGGTTTCTTCTTGAAAATAAGGTCATTTTAAATAGTTTTTAATCATTATGAATTATTAACGACCAATAAATATTATTAATCAATAATTGTATGCATAAAATTTTCAGGTGATAACTTCATTGGAATCGTCTACCGCATAATATTCAGTACGGCAGATAAAAAGCGAAGTTCGAAATTGTTTTTGAAAATTGCTCCCGAAAATGAAGAGCATCGAGAAAAGGTGTTAGCTCATCGTTTTTTTTTACGTGAAATATACGTTCATAATGAGGTAGTTTACAAAAAATTTAGTTTTTATTATTCTTTGCCTGGAAATCTAGAAAAATCTATGGCTTATTTTCGGTTGAATTTTCTTCCTATCCAGGTCTTGCCATGTTTCCGTGAATTCCAAAAGTCGAGAGCCATAGTGGCCGGTAATGATGGATTTTTTGAATATCCTCAGTGCTACAAATTCCTCGATGCTGAACCGTTTGAGTGTTTGTTTCTTCAAGATGTCACTGAAAAGGGGTTTGAAATGATAAATAAGGACGAATTGACAGTGGAACATATTTTGCTTGTAATGCAGGCTCTTGGGAAGTTACACGCCATCTCATTTGCGATGAAAGATCAACAGCGCGACAAGTTTTCAGACATTGTGAACGGGCTTCATGAGCACTTTTTCAGGCACGGATATAATGCGGTTGTGGCAGAAATGCACAAGAATGCTGCAATAAATGTGATCAATGCCATTACCGATGAAAAAGACAGTCATTTGTTAGAAGCAGTCTTGAAAATGTACGAAATTAGTCAGTTTGATATTCTTGTAAATTGTGTTGATGCAAATGAAGCGGAACCCTATTCTGTCGTGATCCACGGTGACATGTGGTCAAATAACACCATGTTTAAAGTTAATAAACAAAATAAGCCAAGCAAAGTATGTATCATCGATTGGCAAATATGTCGCTATAGTTCACCAGTATTGGATATCGTGTATTACATTTTTCTTAGTACAACGCGAGAGCTTCGGGGCCGAAACTATAACATTTACTTGAAGACATACCATGAAAGTTTATCAAATCATTTGATAAGGTATTCGAAATCAATTGATTTTCTGCAAATTGAGCAGAAATGTACTCCATTTCTTCAATAAAAAGATGTTCCAATTTCAGGCTCGGTTCAAATCCCGACAAGTTATTCCCGTACATCGTGTTACAAGATCAGCTGCGAAAGTATGGAAAATATGGATTAGCATGTGCTTCACTACTTTTACCCATTTTGTCAAATGAGTCCGATATACCCAGTGCTAAAACGGAGGGCGAAAATAGTGTTAAAGTACCCAAATTTTCTGAAGCGTTGAATAAACGGTTTAGAGATATAGTAGCTGATATGTATCGATTGGGCTATATTTAAACTCAAGTTCTTATGTTTGAAAGAAATACCTTGAAAAAGACCTAAATCATTTAAATTCAAAATGTCAATAATACAACTTCACATAATTGGTATATTCAACGTTTTTTTTTTAGTTTGGTTTTTATTTCAATGTCGTTCACGTGTTGTTGTTCATAGAAGTAGACACGCAACCGTCTCCACATTGTTCAGTTTTGAAGTTAAAATATCGAATGAAAAAGTAACAAAAAAAAATCTATATTGAAGTTGTAAAAAGATATCGATTAAATCAATGCATTGGGAAGTATTGTACGCGACCAGTCGACCAACCTGGAAATATAACATTTGATTAGAAAAAAAATGTCAAAGAACGAAAAGAAATAAACAAAATGTTGCTTTAACCAACCAATGGTAAGAATCACGTCGTCATGTTTGATGTAAATTTCCTTGAAGCAAATGAATGAAGGGTATTCATCAGGGTCATCGCCGCTGATGTTAAAGTTGGGTGATATGTTTAAAACGTCACGATTGATCGATGTGGAGAAGATGGCAATTGATGGCGTTGATTTGAACATAACCGCAACATATCGACCAGTTGAATCCCAAACGATGCTTTTGGGCCGCCCGCCAATGACACGTTGACCACTTTGGACGGCTTTAAAATCCGCAATTGGAAATGATTGCTTTGGCGCTGCACCCACTGTAAAAGAAAAAATATGAAACGTCAAATAAATGCGTGAAAATCCAATTAAATTGTCAATTCTTACCTTTGTAAAGTTGTTCATCCATAAAGCAAAGACTATAGAGTATCGATTCGTTAGTTGTGATGAACAGCAGGTGATTTGAACACGGTGACCAAGCGGCCGATTGAATAGAGCCCGTTGGAATAGTCCAGCGCTCAGGTGTCCATTTATTTGTTTGCCAAACACGAAATACACTTCCGACGGTCGATGTGAACAGACCTACAAATGAATGTTAAACTATAGAAACGAAAGATACAATCAAAAAAATCTAAATAAACAGACGTTGATTGTTTGTTGACCACTTGGCTAAGGCACACGGCATTCCGATTCGCTTCAATGGTATATTACGATTTGTATCAACATCCCATAGAATGGCATTTGGATCACTTAAACTGACTGAGCACAACAACGTTCCGTTGCGATTCCATTCGAGTGAACTGATTGGATGGTGATTTGTGCTAGAAAAAATGGTGAAAATGATCGATTATTTTGTTAAAATTCAAAACAATTTGGTAAAGAATGAAAAAAAGCAAATCATATTTTCCTCGTTTCATAGCACTTTCTCCAACTTTAATCGCAAAATTTTACCTCGTCAAATGCAAAAATTGCGATGTATGCCGTCCGGGTGTGTCCAGTTTCCAAATAATAATACCGCTATTGCAACCGACAGCCAACTCACCCGCACAGAGTGGTCGCCATGCAAGTGATGTGATACATTTTTGATAGCCATTCTTCAATGTGGTTATGACGACTGTGTCCGCTGAGTAAATTTTAATATTGTCATCAACCGATGCAATTGCCAATTTGAATACATTTGGATGCCATCGCATGAAGCGAATTGGGCTATTTTGCCAGTCTCTGGAAATGGACAATTTGATCAGGAAAATGGTTGAATAAATGAAAAGATATAGTAAAAAAGTCATGTCGTTCCGCTAACACTCATAAACACAATTAGGAAAAATGTCTTGTCAGACACATTCTGGCTCTGTGAAAAATCCCTTAGCTACACGTACACCATTTACCTAGTTTGTGAGTATTCGCTCAAAATGTCCAAATTTTGATTGTCGGTGTACGGCCAGATCATGTGATTAAATTGTTTCACTTTGGTCAAACCGTAGCATAGGCCTCGGAACAGATAGTTAATCTTTTGACCATGTGTCTTTTGTTCGGCTTCTTGCAATGCATTGATGGGTCCTTCTTCGAAGAAAATCCGTGCCAGTCGCTTTGGCAGTGGTTCATTTTGTGGTGTTATCAAAATGGGTCGGTCCAAATGGAATTTCGATGGGATTGCATGTGTTGCACCAATCAAACCTTCTCGCCGAATGTAAATCTCCGGATATGCCGCCAACTGAAATACACGAAAATTTGGTTAGAAATCAGCACAAATATAGTAGAAATTATAACAAAATACACGAATATTTAGTTCAAACCTTTGTTATTGATCGGTTAAAATCATTGTTCACGATTTCACCTTCAATCAGAGGCAATGTGCACGAAAAATGATCCATTTTTATGCGAGAGTCATGAACTTCGACAGTAAATTATTATTAATATGTTTGCCCGAAAAGACGTTGGCACTCTTTTAAACGTTGTCAACGATGAAACGTCAAGAACACACTTTCCGAAAAATAAATTCAAGGAGTTTCCTGCAAGTGATTCAATGTGCGCTAATCGTCAGAAATTATACAGCCAATGAATAAAAAAATACATTTTATTTTAATTGGTTTTTCTTTTTCAAATTGAATAAAAAATTTCGCACATTAAAACTAATGATGTAAATATGTTTGCTTAATATATGGCGCGCAATAAGTGAGGTAAACACACATACACTCACTCACACAGACATATAGCTAGAACTGTCAACATCGAAGTGTCAATTTAGAACGAATGTGTCAAGCAACATGTCGTTCATTGGGTTAATATCAAGTGTTGAATAGAATTGTCATTCATACAGTAATTACGATATAGAGAAATTATTGAGTTTTTTTTTGCTGTCGTTCGTTCGGTCGAAGTTTTGTTGGTGTAGCAAAAGCATTGAGGTGAGAGATAAAATCAACACATTTACCAAATGAAACAACGAAGAACATTGAAAATGTTAATCGAAACGACATAAAGCAATATTGAGAATTGGTCTAGAACATTTTGGTCGTGGATGTCTATTTTGTTTGACAAACCATACCATAACTTCGACGCCATTGTTATTGAACTGAATGAGCCTTGTTTTGACTACGGATAACCAAAACATTTGGACACAAATAAAAAAATTCATGTGAATTTTTGTGTCCAATTGCTCACTTGGCGTGAGTTTTGTGAAATCGTGAAACATTCGTCAATCAGGCGATTTTAATGAGTTTAGTTTTGTCAAAGCAACCGTTCGATTTTTCGTTCAAGTATTAATATAGGCTTTTTTTCTTTATTTTGTTTACAGCCACGAGCGTGCACATACACACCAAATTCGATTAAAGTTCCAAACAGTGCAAAATGTCACATCGTTCTCGACGGTCGGACGACCGAGATCGGTCACATTCATCGTCCCAGCGATACGAGCACCATCATCGTCGTGATGATTCAAGGGACCGTGACTATTATCATTCGAGAAAAAGTTCAAGACGCGATAAGAGCCGATCAAGATATCGCAATAGTAGAAGCCGTTCACCGTCACACAATGGTTCGAAAAGTTACTCACGACACCATCGCCACAGTAGAAGCAGATCGCCGGGTTACAGTTCCCGACATCATCGCAGTCGAAGCAGGTCACAAGGACACTACAGTTCACGACACAATGACGACTACCATCGATCTCATCGATCCAAGGAGTTAACTGAATCAAAAGTACGACGCGACTCACGCGAACAATCACAAACAAAGCACAGTACTGTACCGCATGAAATGTTTGCTGTGAATCATTCGACTAAATCACAAAATCCTACAATGCATCAAACCACCAATGAACGGGGACCAATGTGCATTTCAAACCAAATCAACGACAATTCACAAGGTAATGATTATTATGCCAGCGATGAGCCAAAGGCAGTGCCGATTGATCCAAATGATTCGGACACAGTATTAGAAGAGGAACGGAAACGTATTCAACGTGAAACTCTTGAGCGTTTACAAAAGCATTTAGAATCCGAGGGAAAGAAGTATCCCGCACCAAGACCACAAGCATCGCATCCGATTTTCGCCAACGATGGCTCATTTTTGGAAATGTTCAAAAGCATGCAAGGCAATATGCAACAACAGCAACAAATACAACAAACCCAAACACCGCAACCGGCAACGGCTGATGTACAGCCGAAACCATCAGTTCCAACCACATCAACAGCAATGAATCCGACCAATCGCATTCAACCGATTAATCGACGACGTGGCGCAAAAATACTGAAAACCGGCATCGTACAAAAGCAACGTGTCATTGAGGAGCCAGGCGAAGAAGCGGCACCCAGCGATTCATGGAATGCATATTTGAAGGAAGTCAAACGATATAAAACCGTTACCTGCAGCGATGACAATATTACACGTTCATTAGTGAAATGAATCTCGGGCGTGACTATTTTTTTTCTTTACCTGTTTACATGGATAATGGAATTTTCTTTATTCCAATTTTTTTTTTCTTCGGTCAAACGAATTGCATTTGATTTTTGGAGAATTTTCTTTATTTTTTTTTTTATCACAAACTGTCACTTAAACTGAAACTGAATGTGAGTTGAATTGAATGAAATAAAAGGAAAACATGTACAAAATTCCAATAAAATAACATCTGGCGTTTTATCTCTTTTCTTTTCGGGTAACATCATCAAAACAGAATTTATTATTGCTTAACAGGTATGCATCATTATATATTCATAAAATTTCAATTCTTCTCTAATTTATTCGCTAGCTGAAAAATCATTTGTCTCCCACTTTTCGCCATCTTTTGGTAAATTATCATTGGCCGGTCCCAAAACACATTTGCCCGAGCAACTGTATTCCGTTTCATTTGTTATCAAATATCTTTCGAACATTTTCTGTAATTTGTCCTTCGTTGTATTAATGATTCGGTTGCGATTTCGGCTGAAGATATCTGTTGTAATTCCATAATTGAACTCTCTCAATCCTTTGTTGCCGGCAGCGACTGGTGCATCAAGACCTTGGAGTACAGACAGTTTAGCTTCGAATATTGTTTGATCATCGATTGTGTTCCAGTTCTCACGCAGCCAATTTATGGAATCATCGAATACGTCAAGTGTTTCACGGCTTCTTGGATCGCGGTAACTATAGAAACTGAAAGTACCGTTCAAATCTAGTTTTGCGCCTGCACCGTAGGCTCCGTTCTGTTCACGCACCACCGGCAGCAAATATTTTGATGTTAAAATTTTTGACAGCACCAACAATGGAGCATAGGATTTGTTTGTGTATGGAACGGTTAAGATGGATTTCGAGCAATAATTCACTGGCAAATTTACAACGTGATGCAGTCCATGTATCGATTCTGGGCTTCGGAGCAATTGTTTCGATTGAATTTCTTTTGGTGCCCTTAGCCGGGCCGTGTCAATGCATGAGCTGATTTCATTGGTGAATCCGTTGAATATTTTCATCACATCGGCTTTGTGCCACTCGGACATGTTCAACGCGTACTTCATGGTGCATTGGCCAAAGAGCCGCTGTGCCGTTTGTTGTAGTTGTGCCAAAATCTCTTCGGGTGTTTTTTCGGTGCTTAATTTTTTCATGTATTCAATGTGTTTGATACCACCGAGTTGGGCTTTGAGTTGAAGTGCCTCCGTAATCAACGAAGTGGCGCCTTGGATCGCATAAATATGGCCCGTTTGTGCAATGTCAGCGGTTAACGATGAAATGTATTCCTCGAGCAACACGGAAAATCGTTGAACGTCAATCAATTGGAAGTTGAGTAAAAGTTCTTTAATCAAATTGAACATGTCAGCGGTATTTTCTTGCAAACAATAGGATCCGAATCCAACGCCGATTTCATATTTATTCACATCATGGATATTTTCGACGAAATGAAGATTGAATGAAATGCCCGACGTTTTTAAATTGATTAATTTATCCAGTTCACGGTAATCGTAGCTTTTGGTGCCCATTTTCGAGAAGACCTGTGTTAAAAGTGGTAGCAATAGTATCTCGTCACGTGTCAAATGATTTGCATTACAAACGCCTCGAGCATATACAATGCTATTGGTGTCGACAAGTGTGAACTGTGTTGGAACATTATTTAATTTAACATGCTGAATATTCAATTCGTCGACATCTTTGGAAATGTCATTCATCGTCAAGCATGGCAGTAAATGTATATTGCTCGGCGCTTCCTTTTGTTCTTTGGCCAATTGATTTGTAACTTTGAACATTTCCTCTCGGTCGGCATCGGTGAGTTTACTCACTTTATCTTTGAGCAACGCATCTTCATTTTGCTTGAGTTTTTCTTCGTATGCTTCGTCCGGGCGCATTCTCACCGTTAGACGATGCTTATTGTCCTTGAAGTACTCTTTTACTTTGCGCTGCAAGAAGCCATCATCTTTCAAATCACGTTTCAAGTCGTCGAAATGTTTGCCGATATCCAGTGAATCCAGAATGTTCGTGTCATGGTTCCATGCTGGAGTCACTCCGAACAACAAATGCAACCCAAATTGAGGTGTTTGATGTTTAATACCCAATTCGATGCTATTCAATATACCCTGAACGTGTTCCTTGTCAAAACCATTTTTGATGACTTCATCCACCGTTTCATTGAACACTTTTTCTACCAGGTCAAAATCTTTGCTGTTAATGTTCTGAAGTGCAACAACGAATGTTGTGTCTTTCAATTGAGCATCAAATCCCGTCGATTGGCCAAATGAACCGCCGATAACATTTGGTTCGATCAATGTTTTGTAGAACGATGAATTTGGTCCCTTCACCAATAATTCGCTCAAAACATGCATCAGAAGGATTTCATAGGCATTCGTGATGTCGACCAGCACATAGCCGATGGCCATTTGGCATTGACGTTCAATCGGTGCTCCAATGGTATCAAATCGACAAGTGACTTCGGCTTCTTTTGCCTCTGTCCAACGTTCTTGAGACAAAACTTGACTGAATGATGACTCCAACGGTTCATAACCGCTCAAGTATTCTTCATTCACGAACTGCAACGACTTGAGCACATCAAAATTACCATAGCTAAACACTCGAGCATTGCTGGGATGATAATGCTTACGATGGAATTCAACCAAATTCTCCCACGTCAATTTCGGTATATCAAGTGGCCATCCACCGGAAATGTGACCGTAGGTTGTGTTTGGCAGCAAATTATTCATAATGGCATAGCCCATAATTGCGTTATTCGTTGCAAATGCGCCTTTCATCTCATTGAAAACGACTCCTTTGAATTGAATATCCGATTTTATGTCATTCAAATCTTCGTTTTCCAATCGCCAGCCTTCTTGCAAAAAATCAATGTATCGTAGATTCGGATTGAAAACGGCATCCAAATAAATTCTCTGCAGATTGCGAAAATCTTTTTCGTTTGTCGACGAGAACGGATAGAATGTGTAATCGGGGCCAGTCATTGCATTCATGAATGTGGCCAGAGAACGATTTATCATTTTGAAGAATGGATCACGCACCGGAAATCGTTTCGAACCGCACAGTGCCAAGTGCTCTAAAATGTGTGGCAGCCCAGTTGAATCGTAGATCGGCGTTCGAAAATTCAACGAAAACACATTGTTATTGTCGTTTCGATCCACATGCAAAAATTTGGTGCGTAATAGGCTGTGCGTTAACAAATATGCTGTCATATTGAATTCCGGATAGAATTTTGACTCAACACAATTGAATCCATGGTATGTTGTGCCAACTTTAAGTTTTTCCTTTTGTTTTGATGGCGCATTTTGCGTTGGTTTACTTGCAGCCACCACAGAATACTGTCTGAGGAGAAAATTTTGGCTCCTGTTTCTCACCAAGGCCCTGCAAAGAGAGGTTATGATGTAATTGCCTATGTTTTTGCTTAGAAAAATCAATGAACAAATAGAATTTCCACAAACTCACCGATTTAGATTTTTACACGCGGAGAAAAGTTGCATGATGACTGCAATCGATTCGAAACTTGTGTTTTACTTTAACAATGGAATCGATAAGGAATTTCAACAAAACACCGACTATTTACTAATGTCGATTGGTTCTCTTTGACTCGTTTGACGTCTTGCAGTGTGGTTTAAAACAGCGATAGACTTTTTGACACAAAGCTGAAAGACGGTGAAAGGTTCTACTATCGCTTCGACGAACATTTGTAAGGTTTCAAAAAAACCTGCAACTTCTGTGAAACGTGCGAAAGGTGACAAGTTGTTGTATGTGAACATAAAAGTAACTCGTAGGTTCGTTTAAATTAAGTCTCTTGTCTGTTTTTGATCCAAGGATTTATGACTCTTGTTTTAGCTGGAAACTTTATTGGTGTAACCAATTTGAAGCGATGTGATAATTCATAAAGTCACCATATCCATTAAATGCGGCATAAAAACCTGGCAAAACTTTTCAAGTTGACATCAACTTTTTTAATGAGCTCATTCCACCGTTTTTTTTCTCTCTACTTTTTGTTTCTTTGGAAACATTCTTTGTCGGTTATTTCTTTTGGTAATCGACGATTAAATCGGAATAAACAAAGGAATAAAGCCATTGAAAGCAATTCATCCACGTTCCATTACTCAAAAGACAGGCAGATTTGAGCATTTATACGCATTCCCATATACACTTTGTCCCTGTGATTTGAATGATATGTTTTTTTCTGCTTTTTAGTGTCCATAGACATTTTATGAAGTGCACAATCAAGACAGCTTCCTTATTGTTCTCACGGGTGTTTGTTGTCGTTACATGTTTGTTCGTGCCATGCGAGTGACTTTCCTGAATTGCTGTTTTTCCGGTGCATGCCCTGTCTCCTTGATGTGCTCCAAATGATTTGTTTTTGCTTAGAATCTGCATTTTTCCATGCGCTGTTGCTTGAAATGACACACTTGTGACACACAAAAGCTATTCATCGACTATGTGTTTGAATGACCGAGAAGAAGTGGCAATAGAAAAAAATGCACGAATCAAAAATTATCATCAGTCCACTGTTTTGGGGCCAAAGAGCAACTGAGCGCCATGATGTGATAAATAAAATTGTCATGGATAAACATAGATGTTCTTCATAGCTTTAGACGTGTAGTTTGTCTCGTCGATATATTGCTTGTGTGTATATCTGTATAATGCCGTTTTGGCACGATTTGAATACCAAATACTGCAGCGTCACACAATATTTGAGCGCGTAAAAAATTGCTATCGCCTTTTATGGCTTTGATTTATTGGCTTGTCAACCGAAATCTGTTTGTGTATACTGTTGTACATGAACTATTTGAACTGAAACACCCGAGCGCTGCGTTGGAGAACTCAACACAAACGGTTTTAATATAGTGTGGGTAATTGTTATTATTTTCCTGATTTTAACTCGTATGCATTACAAGTATTTTGCTGTAAAACATGCTAAACTTAAAGCCAGAGGGAGAGAGAGAGAGAGAGTAACTCATTTTTGACTTTATCTTGCCTAGGTCACTTTAGCCATAATCCCAAGAATAATGTTTTCTGTATACAATGTGAAAAATGCAGAAACTTTGTCGTTTCTCTTTCTCTCTACTACAATTGCTTTATGGAAAAACTGTTCGCTACATTTTCTATGCTCCCGATACCATTCATCTAAACAGACGCTCGCTCTTATGCACACAGAAAAAGAGAGAGCGAGCGTATGTATTTGTATAGTGTTTTTGTGTAGATTCAAAACCAGAATCCATTATGTTTGATGACAAAAGCGTACGTATCGTTGTGAAAGCTAGTTCTCACACACATTCACTCCCGCACGCACACTTTTTCGACGCCTTTTCAAAAAGCTTTTTCTTGTATGTTTTTTTTTTCGTCTTATTTTCTTGTTATTTTTTTTATTTCTGGAAACGAACTATGGATAAAGTTACTGCATAGTTGTTCTACGGTGCGACTAGATTGTTTTCGATTCTCGCGATAATGTGGCATAATCGTCATTGCACTTGGCCTAAAACTCAATAAATTTGCATTATGATGAGCAGTTCACTTGAAGCGCAACAGCATAAGAGAGTGAGAGACAGTGAGAGAACAGAAAAAAAATAATCAATTAGAGATGAATTCACTTGTTTAGCATATCAAATGAAAAATGGTGAAGATGAGAACAAGAACCTTATTTACGTGAATAATGAAACACATCTCGGGCATATATAAAATGATGTTGAGTCATTCATTGAAGTTGCTCCTCATGCACAGACAATCTCAACGATCATATATACTACTATGTGTATCGCTGAGTTTGCTTCGCACTCTCCATATGGATTGGTACTTTTCTTGGCTTGATGAAGTGGTGCTACACAGAGACATATATCTTCATCGAAAGAACCGTGGAGCCAAAGCAGCAGCAGCAACTGATGCGCTGAAGTACAAAACGACGAAGTAGACGTCATCATCAAAAGTAATTCAAACTCATTTTCAATTCGGAAGCTGTGCGAATATTTGCTCGTTCTCTGTCATTTTGCTTGTTCTCTCATAAATTCATGGCATTCCATTCTTTCTAAGCCAAATGGCGAAGGACGAATTGAAGATGTTTAGGCACGTATCTCATAACCTTTCCGTAATCAGTATTGCAGTTTTCTGTTCCATGCAGTATGCATAGCAAATATTTAGCCTGTCGGTTGTTTTGCCAGCAATAGTGAGCGGATGTGAGGCGCACGCGGTGAGTCAAAAAGACGTTGCCGCTGGTCATTTTATAATAATATCTCAATGGGCGCCATTAGTTGTTGGAACATGAATAGGAGCTCAACACCAGCGCAGAGTAAGATCAAATGATATCTTTTTGTAAGTTGACGAGCTATTTTTATCAGTTTTCCTATCTTCCTTGTGAAAATGAAGACAACGCCAAGCTCTCTTTCTCTACATTAGGCTCATGCTTCAATGGTTAACGGTTATTGTAGGAAGACGACTTCATAATTAGTGCCTCAGAGAATTAGGACGGAGATGTAGCAACAACAGAAAAAAGACAAGAAAAATTTGTTTGACGACGACATTAATAATAAAAAAAAAAATACCTTTTTTTGTTCCCCAATGACAATAGACGGTTTTTTCTCGCTGGTGTGTCATTTAAATTCCGTGCGGATGCTATGCGAGAAGTCATCATCTTACCGCTTCCTAATGAGGAAGCGATAATTAAAATTATGTCTACGTCATTAAGCTTTTTTTACCGTAGCTCAAAAAACTGCAAAAATTCAAAACTTCAACATAATCAAATTACCTTGAAACATCGAAATGGCAATTTCTTATCAATATTTATTTATGTAGATTAATTCATGCATGTTGCAAGAGATGGAAGCAACAAGGCCGCCAAAGCATGTAACTCTTCTGTTCTTTTTTTATTATCATTGTAAAATGATTGGCAATAAATATACGGTAGCTGCTTTCGTATCAAGAAATTTCAGTTTCATGCTTCTGCTGATTCACTTGTGTGATTGTGGTTCAACATCTCCCATTCTCTCGCAGCTCACCTCATACCACCGCCATTCAGGGGAAAACCGCCCGACTTCATCGCATTTCTCCAACTCAGTTCATTCCGTTGGATTTATGCGTTGGTTTGAGTACGCCTCCGTTTTATTCTCGAATTCATTTTCTCCATGCCGTTGTGCCATCGAGTCTCGATTCTCTCGATTTCTCGAACCATCGAGATTTTACCCTTGTTTGCGAATTCAGTGCGCGACTTTTCCCCTCCGTCGTACTGACTGAACAACGTCGCTTATAGCAACGCGCATTCGTCGAGAGAGTAAAAATCGCAGGAGAACAATCTCATCTCTCCTCCAGCCTCGGAATGCCACTTTGTTTCGAAGAAATATCGCATAATTCTTATCAATGAAAACATTGGTTTTAAACGTCCTTAACACTTTTGCGTTACATTTTCGACATACGACGTGTGCTCTTGGTTTTCACATGCTTTGTGTGGTAAACAGACCGAAAACGAGCAACGACGACGACGACGAAGAAAATAAAGACACACACAGACAATGCAAAAGTATTTGCCATTTTCCGTCGCAGAAATATTTATATAGATTTGCCTTGCAGCAAACAAACCCCGATATTGATTCAATGCATACAATTACAGCGCGTCGCACAACAATCGACACGTTTGTTTTCTCTCTCTTTCTCTCGCTCGCTCGCTCGGTCTCGGTGTGTTTGTTTGCACAAGAGGCTTGGTCTGTTTATTTGAACAGGTAAAAGAGATTTTGTCTCAAGTGGTTCCAGTTGTAAGTTTATTTGAGGGAAACATTTCTCTATTTGCATAACGAATAATCAAATAAACAAACTAACACATTGTGCACGGTATGGATGTATCTCTCTGTGGGACGATGTGGCGGTGTGTTTTTACTGTCTTCAACGTCGTTGCACATTGTGTCAGTCAGGCTGGCAATAATGCGTGTATCTTGTTTGCCATGACAAAACTTCCAAAATAATTTATTGCCGTTGATAAGAGAATGTTTTCCAACTCCGAAAAAAATGAATGATCTGATATTTCATTGCTGTGTGTGTGTGTGTGTGTGTAAGCATCATACCATGTCGTTTGATCACAGGAAAATTTAATATTCGTCGTACATACGTCTGTTTCTGTTTCTGCTGCAACGCTCTCTATATACACAACATAATGCATGTGTGTGGATCCATATTGCCAGTTTCAAATCATCATCATGAACAAATGCACTGTTGCACGTTTGCAACATGTTCTCTCTGCACAAGACATCTCAATGTTGTGCACACTTTTCCATCTCTCTTTCCCTTTGGTTTCGCTTTTTTTCTGCTATCAATTTAGCTTATTTCGTTGCTTTTACTTCGATAAATTCAATAATGATAGAGATGCACTTTCACTATAATAATGTACCTCGATGCAATGATGCATTTCGATAGCATGAGTTGCATTTTAATTGGTAGCTCGCCACAGTTCCCACATTTCACACTCTTTTTTCACACACACCCACATTCCAAACAAATGTGTAATTGGATTTGCACCAAAACTTTCTACTCTGTCATTTAAAACAAACTATCTAAACTTTTGTTTCTTTTTTCCTGGCCTTATGTTCGAATGTGCACGAGGACAAAGTTCAGTGTTGGTGTCACAATCGTCGGTTGTCGCTTTGTAGCGACACACACACACAG